CCCCCCCCCCCGATGTCCCCATGTTGGCCACCTTTTGGTCCTCCCCCCCTTGTGCAGCTCAGCTCCAGGGCATCCGGAAGACCTTCACACAGACCCAGTCACAGACGGATCTCCTCAAGCGGGCTCTTGTGGACCAAGCCCACAGCGAGTCCTGGTATGATCCCTCTACCATCATCCCGAGCCCGCTGCCCCCGATCACGGTGGATGTCTCCTCGGTGACCAAGCGCCCGAGTCCCGGCAACGAGGTGGCCCCCACGGCGGCGGCGACCGCGGCGACCGCGGCGACGGCGGCCACTCCCGGCTCCCCTCCGCCCCTCCCGGCGAAGCCCACTAGCCCGCATCCGGCGCACTTCACCCCGGCCGATGGTGGGTCCAGCAGCAGTGGCAGCGGCTCGTCTCTGGCCTCAAGCACATCCTCCTTCAGTGGATCCAGCTCGTCCTCCTCGCATTCGCTGTCATCCACCGGGTCGAATGGGTCCCTGTCGGATGCGCCCCTCGCCGGGGGCCCGGGGCCGGGCACCGACACCGGGTACTTTGCCCCCCCTCCGGGGGGGAAGCCCTTCGCCGGCGGTGCCCCCCCACCGGCGGTTTCCCCCCGGAGCAACCGCGTGTCGGTGGCCATTGCCAAGTTCAGCGGTTCGGACCCGGGCGCGGCAACGGCCCTGGGCGCTCCCCGGGGCGCTGTCCCGCCGCCGGTGGCCCCGAAGCCGATTGTTCGGACCCCGGCCGGGGGGCCCGCCAAGCCGCCGCCGCCGCCGGTGGCCCCGAAGCCCACGGCCGAGGCCGGGCCCGACGCCGCCGGGTCCCCGGGCAAGCCGCCGGCCGGGTTTGCGGCCGCCATCGCGGCGGTGGCCACGGCGCCGGCCGACTCGCCGCACCCGGCCGCGGTCACCGGTGCCGCGGCCGAAGACTCGGCCCCCAGCACGCATATCATTTCCTCGGCCGGGTCTCTCTGGAGCGAGCTCGGCTTCTCCAAGGAGGGCTACCTGAACAAGGTGCGTGCAGCATGGGCGCCGGGCCCCGGTGCTTTTTTCCTTCTCCCTCTGCGCATTTGGCCCCTTTCACCTGGCCCCATGGGTCCTCCCTTCCGGCGCTTACCTCTTCTTTCTTTCCCCGCCCCCCCCCCCCTCCTCTCCCCATCTGCCGCCTGTTTCACCCCACGCACAGCGTGCCCAACAGGGCGTCGCCAGCATGATGCAGTCGTGGGACCGACGCTTCTTCGCGATCAAGAATGATTTGCTCATTTACATGAACCGCAACCGGCCGGACGAGTTCCCCACGGTGGCCATCAACCTGACCATCTGCACGGTGAAGCCGGTCGACCAGCCGGATCGGCGCTTCCTCTTCCAAGTGATCTCTCCCTACAAGTGCGTGTCTTGTCCTCGGCCCCCTCCCTCCCTTCGGCAGATGGGCACCCAGCTGACCTTCCACCCCGCTCGCCCGATCGCCGGCCTGGTCGCCCGCCCGGCCGCCCGGCCGCCCGGCCGCCCGGCCGCCCGCCAACAGGTCTTACATCCTCCAGGCCGACAGCGAGGCCGACATGAACTCCTGGATCCTGGCCATCCAGGAGGCCATCGGGAATGCGCTGCAAAACTCCTCGGTCAACCCGGCAGACCTCATCCCGCGCGAGGGCCGGCGGAAGCAGGACCGCGCGGTGCAGGACCCATCCCTCCCATCGCCGATGGCCGTGGCCATCCGCGCGGCCGAGCAGGCCAACAGCGCCTCGGTGCTTGCATCGGCGCCCGGCAGCCAAACCAGCGAGGCGAGCGAGGTGCGCCCCGCGGCCGGGGCCTCGACCCCCGGGCGTCGGTTGATTGGTGGATCCTCCGGCGGCGGGTCGCTGCTGGCTTCGCTGGCATCCGGCACGGTTGCCCCCTTCTTCGGTGGGGGTGGTAGCAGCAGCAGTGCCAGCCCGGCCCCGCCGCCGGTCGCCGTGGCGACCACGTCGACCGGTGTCGGTGCCCCGGGGTCCGGCGATGCCGGTCCCTCTCGGCCGGCCCTGCCGACCAGCGTGCCGTCTCTCTCCTCCGGGGCCCTGCTGTCCTACCTGCAGGAGGTGGCCCCGGGGAATGCGGACTGCGTGGACTGCGGCCGGAATGCCCCGAATTGGTGCAGCATCAACCTCGGCGTGCTGGTGTGCATCGATTGCTCCGGGGTCCATCGGTCGCTGGGCACGCACCTGTCCAAGGTCCGGTCGCTGACGCTGGACTCGTGGGAGCCGGAGCTGGTGCTGGTTTTCTCGCAGCTGGGCAACCGGTTTGTCAATGGTCTGCTGATGAACGGCGCGCCGAAGGGCATGGAGCACGGCATCAACGCCAACTCCACCATCGCCGAGCGCGGCGAGTGGATCCAGCGCAAGTACAAGGATCGGGAGTTCTTCAACCCGCCGCTGGCGCGTGCCCAGGCTGACCAGGTGCGTGTCCGTATTCATGCCCATGCGCGTGTTTGTGCGCGTGTTTGTGCGCGTGTTTGTGCGCGTGTTTGTGCGCGTGCGCGTGCGCGTACGCGTGCGTGTGCGTGTGCCTGTGCCTGTGCTCGTGCCTGTGCTCGTGCTCGTGCTCGTGCTCGTGCCAGTGCCCGGGTCCGTGCGCGTGCGCGTGCGCGTGCTCGTGCTCGTGCCAGTGCCCGGGTCCCTGTCATACATCGGCCTATCTTTTTAGGGACCTCTTCTTTTTGCTCTTCTTCTGCGCCCCTCCCCTCCGGAGGGGGGCCTCTCCCTGCCCTGATCTTGCTCACCGGCTGTTCCCATCCATCCTCTTGCTCTCTGGCACTTGAAAAAAAAAAAGATCCTCCGCGACGTCCTCACTCGGAATGGCGATCTCCAGTCAATGTTCACGGCTTTGGTGTGTGGTGCCTCGCCAACCTTGGGTGATCCGAGCGCCGGCGGGTTGACGCCGCTGCATTTGGCCGTGCGCACGGGCAACGCCGCGGCCCTGGAGCTTCTACTCCAGTGGACCCCGGGGGCTGTGACCGGCTCCGGGCGTGTGATCGGCGGCGAGGCCGCGCCCACGACCCCCTCGGTGGTCGATGTCTTCGATGATCAGGGCCGGACCCCGCTGTATCATGCCGTGGAGCTCGACTACAACCGATTTGTCTTCATCCTCGCCCGGCGCAATGCCAACTTCAAACTCCAGGCTAGCAATGGCAAGGTATGTCCTCGATTGGGGCCCGGTCCTCTGCTTGTGTGTGTGTGTGTGTGTGTGTGTGTGTGTTTGTATTGGTTGTCCTGTGTGGTCTCTCCCCGGATCCAGTGTGGTCTCTCCCTCCCTCCCTC